TTTTTTTTTTTAGTAGAGGTGAGGTCTCTCTCTTGCTCAGGCTGGTCTCAAACTCCTGAGCTCAAACGATCCGCCCGTCTCGGCCTCCCAGAGTGCTAGGATTACAGGCGTGAGCCACCACGCCCAGCCAAGAACTTTTTCTTTAGCTGATTAACACTTTTAGCCTGTACTTTATTTCATAATAGTTTAAAATAGTTGTCCTTCAGGGTTTATAAAAGATGATGCAATACTTATATATAATAGGACAGTCTTTAAGAGTCTTTGGTTAAGCAAATGCATATACAGTATTTAATGGAATTCACATTATCTGCTCTAATGTTCATATTTTGCTTTTACAGGCCATCTGTGTAGGACCAGAAAACATGCAAATAATGTATCCAGCTATATTTGACCAGTTACTGGCATTTGTAGAATTCTCCTGTAAACCTCCACAGTATGGACAGCTGGAAACAAAGCACATAGCAAATGCAAAATATAATCAGGTAATTTACTAAAAATTATGGTTACTCTGTAAGATTTCATGGCTTTTAAATACAGTAAGTTCCACTTAAAATGGACCTTGATTACCTCAGAAAAAGAAAATTTTCACTCACAGTCTTACATATGTTTGTTAGCAGTTTAAGCTGAACAGAAATATTATTTGGGAAACCATTTCTGTGTTCCTTTTATCCTTGTGTACGACTTTCCTCTTCCAACTGGTTCTTCAGAGAGTTTGGCCTTTTATGTTACTCTACAGTGTATCTTTCTTAAAAAATATAAGTTCCTTTGTACCTCTTTCTTGATTGCCCCAGCCCACTACAAAATGGCTTCTAAATCCCTAAATCTAATCTTATTTAAAATAGATACCGGCAAGGCAAGATGAAGCAATCTGTGTGTATTAAATTAGAAGTTGTCCACTACTGGTGTGAAATTTAGTTGGATTTTACATGAAAGATTTTTATAGCCATAGTTGGCAAATTTTAGCTTTGTTTTGGCTTAGGGGAAAAGTAAATTTCTGATGCATGCACGTGCTGATTTTGTTAAGTCAACATAAAATTATAATTTTATATCATCCAAAAAGTAGTTTTAATATGTATTAACTTTTCTCATTCTATTTGTCTTCCAACACAATGGAATCACAATAGATCCAACTATTTGCACCGGTGAGTTAAATTTCCTAAAATTGTCCTTACCTATTGGCAACAAATAAAATACATCTTTCCCAGTACTTGACAGAATGCTCTATGTGCTTTTTCCAATCATTTTAAGTTTTGCCTGGCTGAAAATTATTTTTTCATGAAATACGTACTCTTTGAAAACTTTGCATGTAATATAATTTGACCTAAAACCAAGGCCTGAACTTTAAGACAGAGACGCTTTCTCATTGAAAACAATATGATTCATTTACTCCCATTTATTTTTAACTCCATGTGAAAATATTAATTTCTAGGCGGAATGGGTAGCCTTGAACTATGTACCGTTTGCTGAAAGGTCTTTAGAAGTGGTTGTGGATTTGTACCAAAAAACAGCCTGTCACAAAGCAGTGGTGAATGAGAAAGTGCTCCAGAATATTATTAAGGTATCTTTTTTTATTATTTCTATACTTTCATTAGATAATGACAATATTATTGAAATTATTCTCTATGTTAATATATTATAATTATATTGGGACAAATAGAAAATATAATTTGTATTATTCATAGTGACTTTTCCCCTGATGAGCATTCAAGGAGAAATTCACAGTGCACCCCATCAATTTAACTGATAATGCGTATTGTCTTTTTAAGCCAATTCCTTAGTGTATGGAGAACCATTTTTTAAATTCATTTCTTTTGACTGTGTCCTGTTCCTCTAAGACTTATTTCTTGTTTTTCCCTCTATTTTGAAGGACAAAACACAAACCTTGCTCTTCCCCTAGCATATGTATGTACCTTCTATTTACTGAATAAACAGACAACTACAAACATCCTTCCCTCAAGGAAGAAGACCTTTCTCTGTTCCAAGACTCATCCTTCTCTCTGTGTTTATCCTTTCCTCTTTCTGTCTTTCTTTACTGGTGATTCTTTCATTTTCCTTTCAGCATCTTATACTTTATCCTACAAAATGATTAGGCATTTAATACTATAAGAACTTTCTCCTAACTCTGCTTCCTGTTCAAATTGCCATCCTCTTTCATCTTTCCTTTACTTCCGAATTCCTTTAAGCAGCTTAAGCAGCTTGTGGCCTTCACCTAGCCACTACTCACTCTTTGAGTGTTGGCCTGTGTCCATCCGCATTGCTCTGTAGAAATTGATTTCTCAAAGTTACAGAAGACCAAATCTTCAAATCCTGAGTCCTTTTCAAATTCTTTATCTCCCCTTTAACATGGTACTGCCCTTTTCTTCTTAAAGATCTTTCTTCCCTCAACTTTTGTGATACTTATTTCTACCCCTCACTACTTACCTCACCAAACTATCCCCTCTCTCTTCTTTTATTGAGCATATTTTTTAAGCATCTCTATTACCAGGTACTAACTAAATACTAGAGATTTTAAAATGAACAAGACAATTCTTACGTTTAATAACTCAATATAGGGAATAGAGAAAGACAAATAAATAATAAAATAATAATAATACAATATATTAAATGCTAGATGAAGACCACAGAGTGGAGGCAGCTTTGCATTCATATTGACCTGACTTAGAATAGTCCATTGCTGTTTACTTACTGCTCTATGATTTTGGACAAATGGAACTGTCTGGGTTTCTCATGTGTAAAAGAAGGGTAATACCAATACTACTTACATGTCTTAACTGTAATAAAGAGACTCCATTGAGATAACAGCATTTAATGATGCTGGCTTGCCAAGTAGTCAGTGCTGAATAAGAAGTTAGTGTGCCCCACAGACAAAGAAGTGACTAAACTGTCTAGGGGATTTTGGCAAGAATTAATAGAAGTGAAACTTGAAACAATAAGAGTTTGATAGGTAAAAAGGGAAAGGGAAGAAGCATTACAGGTAAATTAAGCAGTATAAAAGATCATAGTATATTTTCAAGAAATGTTGAGAAATTCAGTTTAGGGAGGTCACAAGACCTAGAATAAGTCTGAAAAGATAGCTGTAGGTCTTATAAACCATCATAATACCAGACTTTAACCATGAAAGTTTGAACACTAGGAGTGACATGAATCCGTTTGTATTTTTAAAGGAATTAAAAGAAGCTTTTTGTGTACTCCCACTTTGTTGATGCCACTTACCACATCATATTGTGGTTATTTAGACAAAGCTCTTCCCTTCCCAAAAATTGTGAGCCTGAACTGAATTTCCAAGTTCAACGTGCATTTACTGAGCAGTCCCTGCATTAGTCTCTTAAACGTTTTAAAAAATATATAACTTGATAGGTCAGCTGTGGTTAATGTTTCTTTGATTTCAGTAAAATATTAAAGGTAGTAGTAAACTATACTTTTCTTTTACCTTAACTTGAGTTATAAAATGTAAACTCAATATGGCCCATGCCTCATTTCATATTCTTTTGGTTGCAAATGACATACATTTAGGCACTGACTAGCTTTGACAATAAAGGGAATTTTTTGGTGTGCTTAATAGGAAAATTCAAAGATAGAGGGAAGGCTTTAGGATTGATTGATCCAGTGATTCAGCAGTATCATCAAAAACCAAATTTCTTTCTCTCTGTTCTGCTTTCTAAAAAGTGACTGTATCCTGTGTTTTTCTTCATTAGTTGTAGGCCACTAACAGGATTATGTGTCCAATAGGAGGTGTGTGCACGTGCACATGTGGGAACTTCCATCACATTATTCTTCTTAAGTTCCTAAAACTAATCTTAAGTGGACCAGCTTTGGTCCCATACCCACTCAAACCAGTGATTGTGGCCAGGGAAATGGAATGGATTTGACTGGCTTAATAAACTAATCGTCTCCTTACCCGAATTCCCAAACTAGAAGTGGGGACATTTTCTTCCAAAGCACATGGGTTGTGTGAAGGTGGAGGGAGGGAAAAGGGATAAATAGATTCTGGGTAGGCTAAATATCTGTTAGTGGAGGCCCATATCATGCTGATACTTAATGGTTCATATGTTCTCTATGTGAGTACTCAGTAATTCCTGTGCAGGATGATGACACTAGGTTTTGTATCCTTGAAATGTGACAATTACCTTTTTTACTCAGAGCAGAATTTTTACTCCAATGCAAATTGTCTGACAATATGCCGGAACTATTTACTGATGGTGCTCTGGGTTGTTCAATGGGGTATTTTGGTGAGTCTAGTGTTCTAGTTGCCAGATAGAGCTATGACCAGAGAAATCCATTCTGAACCACTAAATTTGTTCTTTTAATGAATAGAAGCCACTTGTCTCAAAAATTGATCCATTAAAAAGATGAGTCACTATACATCTGGTCACTATACATAACTTAGATACTCCACTTCTGTACCCTTAGTGGTCAAAGATAAAATAAATAATCTTCTTAAATTATCAAATTTACTGAAATACTTGGAAAAGGAAAATGTATATTGAAATATTAAGAATAGAATATAAAATTCAAAGAATTTTAGAGATAAAACTTAAGACTTGAAAGTGACACTTTGGTTGTACTTATCTTTCCCTAACCATTAGTGGAAAAATAGTCATATATCACTTAATGACAAGGATACATTCTGAGAAATGTGTTGTTAGGCAATTCTGTCATTGTGTGAACATCATAGAGTATATTTGCACAAAGCTAGATGGTATAGCCTACTGCCACACCTAGGCTATATGGTATAACCTATTGCTCCTAGGCTACGAACCTCTACACAGCACGTTACTGTACTGAACATTGTAGGCAATTGTAACACAATGGTAAGTATTTGTGTATCTAAACATAAAAGAGGTACAATATGTTTTACTATATTATTATCTTATGGGACCACAGTTGTATATGTGATCTATCATTGACTGAAACGTAATTATGTAGTACATGCCTGTGTAAGCAGTATTGACTTCTTTTGGATGGGAGATCCATCTCAGCCAAATTATTTTTTGTTAGGAGAGCTATGGCAGAATTTTCTAATTCCACAACATCAGGTCGAGAAAAGCTGAAGCATTGTCAGTTTCCTACTCTTACACTTAACTTTTCAGATATATCCCTATTTTTTATGCTGAAAAACTAAGGTTCAAAAAAGTTGCTTCTTATTCAGGGTCATTATTTATAAGACGGAGACAGAATTTAAAAGTATATCTTTCTAGGAGTAGGATTTGAGGGGACCATGTCTAAGAATTGGTGTTTCTAGAAAATAATATCCTTTTTTAAGTATAAAAATACCTATGCTATTTTTCTCTGCTTTAGTTTTTTTTATGTTGCGTATGTTTTAATTAATACTTACCTTAAACTGTCTTTGTTTTCAGACTCTTAGGGTTCCTCTCAGTTTGAAGTATTCCTGCCCTTCTGAAAGCACATGGAAACTAGCAGTATCTTCTCTCCTCAAAGTTCTTTCTATTGGGTTGCCTGTTGCCCGGCAGCATGCTTCTTCTGGAAAATTTGACAGTATGTGGCCAGAACTAGCCAATACTTTTGAAGACTTTCTCTTTACTAAAAGGTCAGCTTATCCATTTTTTAAATTAAGACAGTCTTTGAAGCAGTGGCACATTATATCTACAATTTCTCTAAAAACAGTTTTTATTCATTTAGAAAGTAATTGATTAAAGTTGATAGGTTATATACAAAACACAACTGGATTAGGCATTTATCCAGTGGGTACATTATCTGTAAACACTGGAGATTTTTGCTTTTTGCAATATTTTTGGTTGTAAGACAGGAATCTTATATATAAGACCACATGAATGCATCATAAAGATTTTAACTTAATGAAACTAAGAAGATCCTTTTTTTTTTTTTAAGACAGAGTCTTGCTTTGTCACCAGGGCTAGAGTGCAGTGGGTCACCACTCCCCCACGCCAGGCTAGAGTGCAGTGCATCATAGCTCACTACAACCTCAAACTCCTGGGCTCAAGCGATTCTCCTGCCTCAGCCTCCTGAGTAGCTTGGACTATAGACATGCACCACCACACCCAGCTAATTTTTCTTTTTTTTATAGAGACAGGATCTTGCTCTTGTTCAGGCTGTCTCAAACTCCTGGCCTCAAGCAATCCTTCCACTTCAGCCTCCCAGAGTGGTACGATTACAGTGAGCTACCTCGCCCAGCCAGAAGATCCATTTTTTAATCTCATGCCCATTTGGCATTAAAATAGGCAAACAATTTTAGAAAATCAGTGTATATCAAGAATAAATAGGATCAGTGGCAGTGTAATAATCAGCTATTTAAGATGTTTAAGTCTGTCGAAGAAGAATGGAATTTTCATTGTATGGTATCCAATTGAAAGCCTATGTTAAGGATGCAATTTTGACTCCTCCTCCTCTTTGCTGAACTAGAATAGGATGACTGGAATACAGAGTAAATTTTTTGAATGAGGAGTTTGCTGAGGTCCATCTAGAGCTGTGTTGTCTGATACAATAGTTATAAATGACTATTAAAAATCAAACTTTAAATAAAATTAAAATTCCTTTGTCTCACTAGGCACATATTAAGTACTCATTGCCAGGTGTGACTAGTGACTGCCACATTGGACAGGGCAGGTTATTGGACATTTCCATCAGCACAAAAAGTTTTGTTGGGTAATGCTGATCTAAAGTGTGTCCTTTTACTAAAGATGGACTTACCTGTAAGAGCTGTGATAGCCAGGCAGTCTTCAGTCCTTCTAGCACAAGTAATTATCCTTTGTGCTACAGTAGTGAAATTCCAACAAAGATTTTAAAATTTTTTTTATTCAAGAATCATTTGTTTAGGAGGCCAGGCGTGGTGGCTCACGCCTGTAATCCTAGCACTCTGGTAGGCCGAGGCGGGCGGACTGTTTGAGCTCAGGAGTTCGAAACCAGCCTGAGCAAGAGCAAAACCCCATCTCTACTAAAAATAGAAAGAAATTAATCGGACAACTAAAAATATATAGAAAAAAATTAGCCAGGCATGGTGGCGCATGCCTGTAGTCCCAGCTGCTTGGGAGGCTGAGGCAGAAGGATTGCTTGAGCCCAGGAGTTTGAGGTTGCTGTGAGCTAGGGTGATGCCACGGCACTCACTCTAGCCTGGGCAAAAGAGTGAGACTCTGTCTCAAAGAAAAAAAAAAAAAAGAATCATTTGTTTAAAACTGTATAGTTACAAACGTACCAGGTACTGCTATATAACCATTTCAGATTATTAGTTTGAAACCACTTAAATTATCAATTTGATACACTTGTAGGAAAAAAAAATTACATTGGCACATTGATAATGATCAGATGAGTCTACAACAAAATGATCTAACTGAGGAGATTCTCTTTATCATTCTAATATGGTTTAGTTGTTCAGTAAAGAAAATTTGTAGTATACAGAAAGATTAACTTGCATTTTTCTCTGTAAAAGCTTATCTGATATTTCAGAATTGGAAATACTAACAGGTGATCCTAATTTGTTTCTGCAAATGGTCAGACTTCTTTTTGCTTTCTTATATACTTCTCAGTTTTAGAAATTTTCTTCATACCAATGCAAGCATACTCTTTGTATTTGAAGGAAAAATTATAGGTACTCACAAACCATATTCAAACAAGATTTGCCTTCATCTTTAAAGTAACCCTGAAAATTTTAGTTCCTGTGTGGACTTCAGAGTTCAAATCACTGTTAATTTATATCAAGTATTAAGAAATTTAAACTATTCCTCTTCTTTCCTAATTATCTGTCTGTATATGCATGATGCCCCTATTAAATTGAATAAGCTTTTGAAGATCAGTTTGTTTTTTTGCAGTGAGTGAAACTTCTTTAAGAATTTCTTTTGCTGTGCCTGAGCCTTTGTACCATCTTTCTTATTCTCTAGTTTCTTATTGAACATTCATCATTTCCCAAACTTTGTCCTTATTTTATTAAATTCAGATTTCTGACATGCTTTTTTATGCAGGAAAGTAGATACTGGAACCAAAGGCCAAATAATAGTATTTTACATTGTATATAATTTTCTATTACTGCAGGTGTAGTATAATTTCATTGAAAATTTCTTGCCTGTTTCAAAGGCTTGAATATGTTGGGTGTGTTGAAAAATATATTGCTTAAGAAGCAGCTAATGTAGTGGATAAGAGCACTGACTCAGGAACCAGACTACCTATATTCCAATCCCAACTGTACTGCTCTGTAACTGTGGTATTTTAGACAAATTATTTAACCTTTCAGTGACTCATGTCTTCATCTGTTAAATAATAGTAATAATGTTCCCCAACTCATAGGGTTATTGTGAGGATTAAATCACTTAAAATAAGTGAATGCTTAGAATAGTGCCTGGCATGTAGGTACTTTAAAAATACTTGCTAACACTATTACTCTTTCTTTCCCTTAAGAAAAAGTCAAACCAGCTATATTTTAAACCAAAATTCTAAATAACTGGGACAAGGAAATTTACCTCTAAATTTGGAGTTATTTTTAATGACTAAAAAATAATAAAAGTTCTAAATTCTGCTGTCAAGTAACGCAGTATCAGTGTTCTAAGTTGTGGTTATTCTAGTTACAGATTTAAGCTTTCTACTACATGGAGTAGTAGAAACATACCCTAGGTTAAGAGTCAGGAAAAAGAAAAAAAAGAAAGCCTTTGGACATTATTGAGGGCTATCATAAGTCAATAGTTTGAGATAAGAGAAAAACACAAAGTTGAAAAACATAAGGACTATAATCTAGTATACAGACATTTGAGATCTATTAGAAATCCACTCAGCCAACTTTTGAATTCTAAAATATGGTAGTTGTCTTCTAGGTCTAGGAGACACATTGGACTAGTGGGAAGTCATAAACCTAAGGGTCTGTGGACCTTACATTAAAAGTCACTAAGTACTACCTCAAAGAATTGAAAGCACATGTTCACACAAAAACTTGTATACTAATTTTCGTTGCAGCATTATTCATAATCGCCAAAAAGTGAAAATAACCCAAATGTCTATTGGCTGATGAATAGATAAGATAAATTTGCTGTATCTGCACAATGGAATATTATTCAGTCATAAAAAAGAATGCCGTGCTGATGCATGCTCTGACATGGATGAACATTCAAAACATTATGCAAAGTGAAAGAAACCAGACACAAAAGGGCATGTATTGTAATAATCTCATTTATGGGATATATCCAGAATAGACAAATCCATAGAGACAGAAAGTAGATGTATAGTTCCCAGGGGTGAGGGAAGGGGGAAAATGGGGAGGGACTGCTAATGGATACATAGTTTCTTTTAGAGGTGATGAAAATATTCTGGAATTAGAAATGGTGATGGTCATACAACTTTATGAATATTCTAAAGTACACTAAATTGTATACTTTAAAAATGTGAATTTTATAGTATGAATTATATCACAATAAAAACATTTGTAATAAACCACACAGAGAGAAATGACAAAAAATACTAATAACACTGTGTCAATTTGAAGGCTCTTTTTAATTTTTTTGAATAAAAATTCATGAAAATAATTTTTTAAAAGTTACTTTTACACTTTTCAAACTTAGAGAATTTAAGGATCTTATGTGACCCATTTGTACCTATTGACCATCTCCCCTTATAATGTATAGGTAAATTCTGTTAATGATCACCATTTTCTAAAGCTCAACCAATATTTTTTGATATGTTCCAGTAAAGATACTAATTATAAATTAAAATAAATAGGGCAGGTGCAGTGATTTATGCCTGTAATGCCAGCGCTGTGGGAGGATTGCTTGAGCCCACGAGTTTAAGACCAGCCTGGGCAACATAGATCCCATCTCTACAGTCAGTTAATCAATCAATCAATCAAATTAACCAGGTCTGGTGCACCTGCAGTCCCAGCTACTGAGCAGGCTGAAGCAAGAAGATTGCTTAAGCCCAGGAGTTTGAGGCTGCAGTGAGCTATGATCATGCCACTGCACTCAAGCCTAGCCAACAAGAGTGAGACCTGTCAATAAAATAATAAAAATATAAAACATAAAATATAAAGTAAAATACCATTAGTTTTGGTTCTGGGATCAGGATACTCAGCCTGTACACAATCAAATAATTTGCTGATTTTGTGGATCATTGGCATTGAGAGGAGTGACCTTTCAGTTTTTAGTTTTGTGTGTTATTCTCTTCCCTCATTATAAGACAGTAACAATCCAGTTCAGTGTTTCTGATACATGATACAAATAATATTAGTGTATGTTCTTACTAAGATTTTCATTTGTTTCTTTTTTATCGATAATCAACCCATCCTTAGTTAGCTCCACCATCGTCACAAATCTTTTAGTATCACTAAACACTTACATTCCTTGGTTGTAAATTAAAATTAAATACAACTTTTATCTATAGAGATGCAGATATATCTGTGAAGCTGTTTTGATGGTAGTGGTTGTGAAATTCCTACCATTGGTTCAGGTTTGGGTACATGTCTTTAAATTTTTTCCTCTAATTCCTATTACCAGATTATAAAGTTAGTCTAGGACTTGGACACCAGAATGTAAGTTCTGTAAAACATGGACTGAGTCCATCTTGTTTACAGCTGGATCTTGAACACCGAGAATATAGTACCTGCTGCAAAGTAGTTGGTACTCAGGAGATATTTGTTGAATGAAAAATGTCTAAAGCAAACTGGGGCCTGGTGCCCATATAGTCCTAGATACAAAATTGTGTATTATAACTCTAAACCTAAATGTGCTAATATTATTTTTATATCTGCAACATAAAAGAGAATGATGTAGGCTCAAATATCAGATGAATCTGGGTTCAAATTGTAGCCTAGTCATGTACTTGCTGTGTGTTCTTGGGCATATTAGCCATTCTACACTTCAATTTCCTCTTCTGTCGACTACATGATAATTACTACATGGGGTTACTGTGGAAACATATGAGATTAATACAAATAAAGCTCTTACTACAGTGGTTGGCTCTCTAATTTTAGCTGTCATTATTATAGAAATTATTATCATCCTATTCTGAGCTATTTTAAAATAGTTAATATTTTACTGTTTTATAAGTTAATGATTATTTTACTCTTCATTCTTGTTATGAGCCACAGAGTATGGAATCCACCTTGGTTCTCTCAGTACTATTGATTTCCTTGGTTCTTACTGAGACAATTTTTGCTTTAGAAAATCTCAATCAGTCCTCTTCTTTGCAGATGTCCTCTATCTTTATTGTAAAGATCTTAAACACATTATATTTATTAAAAATTAATGATTAATGGGCGGGCCCTCTCCGAGTGAATAATTCAGCAGCTTGACTAAGGCTCTCTTAAATCACTGCCAACATAAATGAATTCAGGTATCATCACAATGATAATTTTTACCACAGCCACATGATATAATATCTTTACCTTTCCTTGATTTTTTATTCACAGTACTGTAAGAAGTTTAGTTCTTAGATTTTATTCAGTTCAGGATTACATCAAGTTTTTTTGTAATTGGAGTATCATGTTTGCAATTAGCTTAGTCATTTAAACTAATGACTTTAATTGAAAATATTATCCTTTTAAATAAACAATAATATCCCAACCTGGGTAAGAAAATAAAATTTTTTATCATTTGAATATTGTTTATTTTTTGTTTGTATTTTCAGGGAATATTTCCCCTTAAAAAACCAAATGTTTTCTTTATTGTTTTTTAGCATACCTCCAGATAATCTCTCTATTCAAGAGTTTCAAAGAAATGAAAGTATTGATGTTGAGGTGAGGAAGCTATTTAAAACATTTTCTTGTGATCATTTTGAAAACCAAATAGTAGAAATGTTTATAAAATAGCTAAAAGAATAAATTAGTAGGTTAAGATTGAACTGAAAGCATTAAAACTTTTATAGGTTAAAGGTTGATTTTTAAAGTACTGACATTTTAAAAATGACTTCCTTAGATTTGTTATAGTCTTGTACTGTGTGCATATTGTCTAGATACTTCATTGTGTCCATTTAATAAGTTTAAAAAGCAGTGAAATAAATCCACTCAGGGAGCATGTATTTGAGAGTTTACTCTGCAGTTTGGCAAACCAGGTGTTTGTGGTTCAAACTAATTAGTAAGTTGCTTGGAATTTTCCATTTTAACCAGCTGTACGTAAAACCTGTGAAATTCTTAAACAATATTTTTTAAAGAGTATATTTTGAGGGTTATAAATGGAATTTAAAGAAAGAAATTTTTTGGTTATGGATGGTGGTGGTGGTGGTGGAGTTTCGGTTTTTTTAAGTGTGATAGGGGAACTTTTAAGTAAATCCAATCAAATAAATTAAAGTATACATTTAAAAAGCATAGGCATTGTCATATAGATACTTTGTTGCCATTACTGTATTAAAACTCTTGTCAAATTTTCTTTTTCTTTGGAGGGCAAAATAACACACTGTATGTTAGAAATAAGCTATTTGACAAAAACGAATATATTAATAACTTTAATTTCTCTTATATCTTATAGTTTCTGGTATAAAAAAGTTATTTAAGTCTTATTCTTAATCCCACATCGTATGTTTTATTCTAACGTGGGTAAATTTCATGTGCTGTTTTTCCCTAGAGGACTATATGCAGTTATGATGAAGATCAACATTTGTCAAAGTGATTGCAGAGTAAACAGTTATAGTATTGACTGTTTTCTAATGAAGTTACGAAGACAGATGAGGGAAGCAGACTAGTAGTCATCCTGTATATTAACGTTAAAATATTTGTGTACTTCTTTCAAGGAGAATTCTTTAACTGATTTTCTCTTAAAATCAAATTTTAATTTTACTCTAGAAATTATGATTTGAGTCAGTCAGTATCTTTCAAGAAAAAAAAAGCATCTGAATTTGCCCCTTTTGTTTTAGGTAGTTCAGCTTATCAGCACTGAGATACTACCTTATGCCAATTTTATTCCTAAGGAATTTGTTGGTCAGATAATGACTATGCTTAACAAGGGCTCAATACATTCTCAGTCGTCTTCATTTACAGGTATGTTATTTTAATGAGTTTTTAAAAATTATTAGAAAGTATTGAAGTACTTTTAGAGAAATTGACAGTAAAAGTATTTAATCCTATGATTACAATAGGTGTAAAACTGGAGAATGGTAAGGAAATTTTTAGGAATGTAATATAGAACATTAAGCTTTATGAGGGGAAAAAGTGAATATTCTGTGGATATAGGCACTCATATTCATAAACCATGATTAATTGAATAGAAAAGTACTTTATGGAATCCATGAAGTCATTGCAGGTTGACACAAGTTACCAGTTTTTGAAGTCATTTTTGGAAGGCAACATAATATAGAAAACAGTGAATGTATATTCTGCCACTTAATAGTTGGTTAGCTTCTGTGAATCTCAGTTTTGTAATCTTTAAAATGTAAATATTAATTAATACCAACCTCTCAGGACTATAAATTGCAGAGTTAGTCTATTAAAAAAAATAAGGTGCCTTAACATTTGTTAAGGGAATTAACATTTAGTGAATGACAACTATGTACAAGATATGCTAGAATGTTATCTCATTCCTCACATTTCTATGAGGATAGGTACCGCCATATTATAGAAAGAGAAATGGGTTTAGAAAGGTTGAAAAATTCCTCACAATCTTCAGACTGGAGGCCAAATTCATACTTCAAAAGAACTGCATGCTTCTTTTTATTATATCATGCTGCCTTAATTGGGAACTGATATATAAGTTGCTTTTTGCTGTTAGTTTTCTTTTCTAAACCTGAGCTCAAGTCTTAAATGAAATTGTGGCATCATAATATGATTTTTTTCTGTGAGATGATTAAAAATTATAAATTCGTGTCATGCATATCCTTAATCCTCAGGATTTACTGGAGCTTTGACTAGCTTTTACTACTTTGTGCTGAGCAATTTAAAGAGCATTTATGTACACAGTTTGACCACTAGATGTCTCTCATACTTACTTCATAAACTAGTTCTTCTAGCCCATTTTTAAAAACTGGCCTGGTAAAGTGCAGGTTTAACAAACATGAGAACCTCAGAGAAAAAATGTTAAAGCCCACTTATCTTAATGTAGTCAACTTTTTAATAAGGGTATAAAAATTTCTAGATAATTTTTATAAAATACACATTAAGAATAATATTCAAAATTAAATATGAATATCCTGAGCTGAATAAGGGCTATTGAGTTACCAGTTATACTTTTCTGGTAGTTTTCCGATAATATCTCTTGCTATTTATAGTATTAAATGTACCAGGACAAGAAAGGTGCATGGACATTCTTCCAGTGACTTTGCCATATAGGTCACAAATGTCTTCTCAGCATTAACTAGTTTTCTTTAAATGTATACATACAAAGTCATGCCTTGCTAAACAAGGCTGTAAACACAGAGGTCCCAGTGATCACTGGTTCTCCACTCTTAAGTATGACCTGACAGCCAAAGCTCACAGACATTTTAGGAAATCCTCCAACACAAAAGAAAAAGTCTAAAAAATAAAATAAATAAAGAGAGTAAAAGAAACTGGGAAAAAACAGATAAAATGCAGAGCCATAGAAAACATAACACCACAATTATAATTAGGATGGTCAAAAATCTAAAAGATTTCACACCCATGAAACAAAAAATGCTATAAAAATAGAACAATAAGAACAAGAAAGAACTCATAGAAAATTAAAAATGTGATGGCTGAAATAACAATTTTAATGAAGGGTTAGAAGAAACATTAAGGAAACAATTTGGAAAGTAGAGCAAAAACAAAAATGTGGACAATATGAGAAGAGAAATAAAATGAATCCAGGGAGTCTAACATTTGACAGAAGCCTTCCAGAAAGAACGAAGAAGATTGAGAGAAAATTATCAAAGCAATAAACTAAAGAACTTAAGAAATAAAACTCCAAATTAAAAATGTTCACTCAGTACCGAAAGCAGTGAAAGAAAAAAGACCCACATATCATCATGAAATATCAGAACACCTGGGATAATGAGACGATCCTAAAAGATTTCAGAAAGAAAAAAATATTCAACATGAATTCAACAAGAACTGTATCAAAATGACATTGGAATTCTCAATAGCAGTATTGGATGCTAAAAGACACTGAAGCAGTAGTTTCAGAGTTATAAATGGCAAGGATTTTTAACATGGAGCTTCGTACCCAGGCACACTATTGGCTGAGTATGAGTGTAGAACAGTAATTCTCAAGTTTCAGCATGCATCATAATCAACTAGAGAACAAGTGATTGCTGAGCTGTACCCCCAGAGTTTCTAATTCAATAAGACTAGGATGGGGCATGAGAATTCACATTTCTAACAAGTTCTCTGGTGGTGGTGATGCTGCTGGGAACCACACGTTTGAGTACCAGAGTAAAATAAGGACATTTTCAGAAGTAAAAGTTCTCAGAAATTTTACTTCCCATTTGTTCCCTCTTAGGAAGCTATTAATACTTCAGAATATGCTTCATGAAAACAAAGGAATTAACCAAGAAAAGAGAAGGCATGAGATCTAGGAAGTAGGATCTAACACAAGAGAAAATGGAAACAATTCCCAGGGTAATGGTAAAGACTGGTTCCAGGATACAGCCGAACAGAGAGCAACTAGTCTAGACTGGAGCAGAGGTCATGTTCCAGGAAAGAAGTTAATAGGAAAGGGAAAAAAGAGAGTGAGAGAGATTATTGTAAGTTTGACCATGTGGAAAACCATTGTGGAGTATATTTTACAGTGCTGTTGATGGGAAAGACCAAGACAAGAAAAATGTTGAAGTGATGAGGGTAGACAGTCTTGCCTTGTTTTTGATTTTGTGAGGAGGAAAAATTGTTTCTCTCTCTCTCTCTCTCTCTCTCTCTCCTTATATATATACATATATATATACACACACATATACACACACATGTATATATATAATTTCACTGTATATATGCTACTAGTTATAGGTTATTCATTGATACCTTTCATTAGATTGAGGAATTTCCTTCTGTTCTTAGTTTGCTACAAAGAGTTATCATTTAAGCCGCATTGATTTAACTTTTATTAACCATCAAAAATTGTTAATTTTACAGAAGCAGAGATTGATATTCGTTTGAGAGAGGAGTTTTCTAAAATGTGTTTTGAAACATTGCTTCAGTTTTCCTTCAGTAATAAAGTCACAACACCTCAAGAAGGCTACATCTCACGAATGGCACTCTCAGTGCTTTTAAAGAGGTCCCAAGATGTACTACACCGCTATATTGAAGATGAAAGATTAAGTGGTAAATGCCCTCTTCCAAGGTATACATTTTATTTTATTAAAGAAGGAAATGCACTGATATCATAATTATTAATAACAAGGAAAGCTCTGAAAAGCAAGTGTTTTCATAAGTGATCTGAACTAACCTGAGTTTGTTTATAGTTTTATTTATCCCATACATTATAAATATTCATAGGTTTTGCTGCAGATATATTAATGTGTTTATTTGGGGTGCTTTTTCAGACCCCTCATGGAGGTTAAGTAATAACCTCTTTCAAATGAACAGATACACCAAATTAACTTTCTGAATCTGAAAAAATAATTGAATTCCAAAATATGTTTTCTCCCAAAGATTTTGGGATAAGGACTTGTGGATCTGTATGAGCACATGATGTTATTTCTCTAGAATGAACATCATAGATAAACCATATTCTAGGAACATCTTTGTTTTATAGTCATTTCTAGGTTTCTCTCTACATTGGCTAGCCATATCTTAGGTCTTCTTTTCATGTAATCAGCTTAATTAAGCCCTTGGACCAAAACCAGTCTCTTTCCTACCTATCCAAGCTGTGTCAGTGGAAGAAGCTCTAGGCCTTTTTGGTAAGCCAAGACTAATCACAGTTGGAGTATAAACCAGAATCCATCAAAAGATGCAGTCATAGGCTGGGCGCGGTGGCTCACGCCTGTAATCCTAGCTCTCTGGGAGGCCGAGGTGGGCGGATTGTTTGAGCTCTGAGAGTTCGAGACCAGCCTGAGCAAGAGCGAGACCCCACCTCTACTAAAATTAGAAAGAAATTAATCGGCCAACTAAAAATATATAGAAAAAATTAGCTGGGCATGGTGGCGCATGCCTGTAGTCCCAGCTACTCGGGAGGCTGAGGCAGTAGGATTGCTTGAGCCCAGGAGTTTGAGGTTGCTGTGAGCTAGGCTGACGCCACGGCACTCACTCTAGCCCGGGCAAAAAGAGTGAGACTCTGTCTCAAAAAAAAAAGAAAAAAAAAAAAAAAAAAAGATGCAGTCATAAACTAGGATTAGGTTGCAATTCTTTTTTTAATGTTAGAGTTTAAGGCAAAGCAAACGAAGCAGACAGAAAATAACATGAGAAGACAAAGTTATCAAAGTCAGGAAACAGGAAAATCATTTTGGTTCCCATCTCATAAGGTAGTATTGGAGAGGCAAATTACTTGCCTTAAGTATTTGTGCACATTCTTATTTACTTATAATAAATTTCTGGAGTTGGTATTGACCTGTCAGAACATACAGACATTTTAAAGCTTTTGATATATGTTACCAAATTGCCTACCAGAGATTTCTACCTATTTACATTCTCCCAGGAGTGTATGAATGCCCCTTTCCTCAATTTTTAGCATTTTTAAATTATTTGCCAGTTTATCATTTATTTTATCTTTTTCTAATTTGATGAATGAAAAATAGTCACATAGTAGTTTGCTTTTATTTTTTTAATAATCAATGCTTGTTAGCCATTTGTATTTCATCTTTTAGGATCCAGTGTATTCTGAATTTCTAGAACAAAAATTATAATTCCTCATGTTCAAATCTATATACAAAAACATTCCAAAGACAGGTATTAGTAATTTGGTTATGGGCATGATTGAAAATTAATTAATCAAAATTGATTTCTGAAGTATACTTGGAAATGCAGTAATAAAATTGCTTTGAATGGAATATTATTTATTAAATTATTTATTATAACATTGACTTCAGAAAGCAACTTTCTCTTTTTTTATGTTTTAAGTATTTTCTTTTTAACTGCTGCCTTTAAATTGAGCCCTATTGTCCTCTGAAGTTATATTGCATCATTCTGTTTGTTGCAATCTTATTCAATTCTTTTCAAAAAAGCTATGTTGTGGCATAATAAAATACTTTTATGCTTACAAATGGAAGGCTTGAAATAGAACCCTATCAATAGCATTAGAAAAGTTCTGTCTGTAGAACTCTCTGGTGTAATACAGATTCATACCAGGAATAGGGTGGGGTGAGAGAGGACTGGAGAGCAGGAGAGTTTTAGTTCTGTCAGGAAAAGGAAGGGAATCAAGCTACTCTTACTGATCCTTTATTCCAAGTTCATTCTTCATTGCTGACATCTCCAAATAGTGTCACCTTAGGACTGGTTTTGAGCATGTTTCTTGTTTGTAGTATTAGAAAGTTAAATAAGTACCATTGTAATTTTGAATATACTTTTAACAGCATGGTTTTTTTTTGTTTTTTTTTTTTTTTGAGACAGAGTCTCACTCTGTTGCCCTGGCTAGAGTGAGTGCCGTGGCTTCAGCCTAGCTCACAGCAACCTCAACAAACTCCTGGGCTCAGGCGATCCTCCTGCCTCAGCCTCCCGAGTAGCTGGGACTACAGGCATGTGCCACCGTGCCCGGCTAATTTTTTCCATATATATATATTTTTAGTTGTCCAGATCATTTCTTTCTATTTTCAGTAGAGACAGGGTCTCGCTCTTGGTCAGGCTTGAACAGCATGGTTTTTTAAAATATGTGACAGGTGGTATTAGTAATCTTTGTTTCCATTCAAGCTTTGGAAAATCTCTTTTAGTATAATTAGTGGGGAAAAAAACACTTTTGTATGGAAATTTTAAAAGTATATATTATAAAATATTTTAATTTTAAGTAGTTAATGTGAAATATCTTCCAAATAAATTTGTATGAGTAGATCGCCTCCCTCCTTTTTAATTGATAATTTATGGTAAGAACAACTAAAAATCTGATTTGTACATTGAAATACATATTAGTAAAAGGATTTCTACTTTTATAAGAATTTAAAGCTAACATTAACTTTGTATTGTATTGTGTTCAGTATTTTTCCAAAGTACACCTATTTGTACTAACCTAGTTTAGAAAAAACACACACATGGAATATTTAAAAATCTTAATGGAAAGAATTTCCCATCTCTTTTTTTAGGCAACAAGTAACAGAAATCATATTTGTTTTAAAAGCAGTCAGTACTCTGATTGATTCACTTAAGAAAACTCAGCCTGAGAATGGTAAGTGCTTAGAAACTCATTTATTCTAAACTTACAATGTTTATGTTCTATTTGTGATGGATGTTTATATTACTATTAAATGAACTTAATTTTAGAATCATAGCAGCCAGCACTTTCTTTTCTCCAGTTCTCGTGACAGCAAAACATGAAGTCCATTAAAATGTCAATTAAGTAAAATTAATTTATAATGTCTTAATTAGGCCGAGGTGGGCGGATTGTTTGAGCTCTGAGAGT